TTGTGCCTCTTGATTAGGAAGATGCTTCAATAGTGGTGAAGGCTTTATACTTATTGTTTTTCGCCTCTGAATAGGCTGATGTTCCACTTGAGGATATTTGCTCTTGATAATACCTCTGAGTAGGCAGATGCTTTATTGGAAGCTTTGTGCTTTGGACTTGTATTGCCTCCTGCATAGGTTGATTTCCCATTTCTTGGGGATATTGGCTCTTTGCTTGCCTTTGAGTAGGTAGAGGTTTCATTGGAAGTGGAAGCTTTGCATTCCATTAGGGATATCCATATTGGGCGTTATAGGCGACTAACTCCCTAAGGATATGAATTTGTAGTTTTTGCCTTTGCTGGGGATAGTTTTTCTTTTTGGTGATCCACCGGGGATTTGATCGTTTTCCGGAGATCTATTTTGAATTGCCCCCTAGGGAGGAATGGAGTTTTTGACTCCATGTTGGATGCTGTTATTTTGAGCTAACTTTGCCTACGCTCTTATTCTGCTGGGGAATGGGCTTTTACCTTTTTCTCGCGATTTTATCTCTTTTTCACGATTTTGAAAATTTGGCTTTTAAATGTGTGCGCCTTTTTAATTTCTTTTAAGCACACTAGCTTTTTTGTTACCTGCTGGATGAAAAGATTTCTTTTTTCACTTTTCTTTTTGGTGATCTCGGGGAGTTTATTGGCTTCCTGGGGATCTAATCTTTGATTTGATTTTTTATGATGGAGTCTTGACTCCTAGCTTTGTGAAGCTCTTATTAATCTGGAGGATGGAAATTTTCTTGTTTTCCTCTTTTTGTAGATTTTTCTGAAATGCTCTACTTGGAGATATTTATTCGGCATTTTTCGTGGCCTCTATTGGGGAATGAAAAGTTTTTCTTTTCTTTCTTTTTGTTGAACCCCTGAGGATATGGAGATCTTGACTCTATATCTTCTTTGGTTAATCTTTGTGTAGTCCTTATTCTCCTTTGGGGAAGTGGTGGAGATTCTGGATGAATGTGCTTGATGACTCATGTGGTGATGAAGCTGAGTCGTGAGGTAATCTTTTTGTTTTGCCTCTGGAGTAGGCATGATCCGCTTGGGGATGATCAAGCCTTTCCGTTGGCTTTTTCATGTTGATGACTTCCTTTTTCTTGAATGGAAGGATGTTGATTGAAGCTTCAAATGACTATGTTTGACGACTCATGTGGTGATGCTGAGTCATGAAGTAGTTTTTTGTTTTGCCTTTGGAGTAGGCAAGGATCCATTTGGGGATCATCGAGCCTTTCCGTTGGCCTTTTTCTGGGGCACCTTCGTTTATTGGTGTAGAAGGTTAGAGCTAGTTTCCTTGAAGCTCTTTATTCTGCTGAAATGGTTTCGATTTTGCCTCTTCTTTTTCTTGAGGGAATTTTTATTTGGAGACTGGGTTTTGGCGCCTCCCTCCTGTTTTCGATAACAAGTATGGAGTCTATCTTATATGCATGTTTATTATTTTTATTTAAAGAAGATTATTTTTCTTGATTTTGACAAAGTCATTTTGTGCAACTACTTTGTGTGTGGATGTCCTAAATGCAATCTATTTATTTATTTATTTTTGATGCATTTAGAAAAGTGACTACCCTTCTCACGTTAGCTTCTTATGAATACGCCGATGGGCTCCTCTTTTATGACCATGATGATGGGCTCCTCCTTTATTCATCTTTTGGTTTTAGCCCTATCTTTTGCCTAGACCGCCCTTTACGGGTTTTCGATCTAGCGGGCTGCCTTAATTTTTGCCTAGAATATCTTAGGGGGCTTTTGCCTTATCTTTTGCCTAGATCGTTCTTTTGGGGTTTCCGATCTAGTAGGCTACCCTAGTTTTTTCCTAAGAATATCCTATCAGACACTTATTCTTTTATTAATTTTTATGCTTCCTCTTTTTTAGATGCATGCTTGATTTTTTATTAAAGGTCTTTGCTCATATTTATGATTTATCAATAAAGAGGCATTTCCATAATATTTGGTCAAGAAAAAGGAAATGAAAGGGAATTTTATTGATAAATGAGAAAAAGTTTATTTCTTTTATAGAAGGATTTCAAGGATGTTTAGAAGAATGGGTGGTCAAGGTTGGTTGTACTGTTTAGGCTTATACAGTCATGTCTATGATATCTATCCCCTGGTTCTCCTAATTGCTTCAGTTGAGATGTTTGAGCTTAGAGTGAAGACTTTGCAGACTGCTTGCTTCTGGAAGAATGTTACCTTAGCCGCCTTTCGGTTTTCGACTAAGGTAACCATTGCTCTTAAATTTTTATTTTATATATATATTTTTTTATACCTCTACTTTTTGCCCAGGACGTATCCTAGCGAGGGATATAGACCCTATCTTTTGCCCAAGGATGCCCTTTGTGGGTTTTCATTCCTGATGGGTCTTGAGCAATGTCTTCAAGCATAATACTTCTGCACCTTATCGGAGTTTATTAGGTATCGAAGTTCTTTTCCATTCATATTGGTGAGGATAAGAGCCCCTTCCGAGAAAGCTCATTTGACCACAAAGGGTCCTTCATATTTAGTTGCCCATTTTTCAATTTTATTCTTCTGGTCCAGAAGCAACTTATTTACCATTAAATCCTTCTTTTGGTAAATGTGGGGGTTGACCTTTTTTCATAAGCCTTTTTTATTTTCCTTTGATATAACGTTCATTCGTTTTTCTTCAATCATTTTTCTTCAATAAGGTTTACCTGGTCATATAGGCTTCAAACCCATTCAGCTTCTGTTAATTTTGCTTCTATCATCATGTGCTTTTATCAACATGATTAGTTGTACCGATTTGCCATATCGGATCTTTGCTATAACCGAAGAGTAATAATTTTGAATGTAGAGCCACTGCCATGTCAATGCCCCTCTTCCTTTCCTTAGGGATTTCAATCCTCTTATTGATCACTATATTTCCACATTTCCTAGTCAATTACTTGAATGTTTTATGGTGAAGGGTCAAGAGAATAGAAAGAAAGGGATTTATTGCAAAGGCTTGTGTTTTAGTGAGATTTTTTATGAAATAATAGTTTTTGTAAGAATGGCTAGCCAAGGTTGGTCGGTGTTTAGGCTAGTTTAAACAAATGTTTTGTTTTAATGAGGTGGCGTCTTCAACTGATTACTTTATGGCGCCTATTTGTGATTGATTAACTTTCCTAGTCCACCCTTTTGGGTTTTTAACCTAGGATGTTGTGTTATGTCCTAACTTTTTTCTAGGTTCCCCTTTTCCATTTTTGGGATACCTAGCGGACTTTATTTTGTTTATAGCGCTTTGATTATTTTGACGCATTTTGAAAACGTTTGTCTAAACATGGTTATTTAATGGGGTATAGACATATTTAACAAGAAGAGAAGCAGATAGTAAGAATAGCATTCTTTGGTAATTCAAAGGGAAATGCATGCCCTAAAGATGCTCGGGGGTCGGGCACACCCCGAGGAGTGATCTCTAATAGTCATTGGGTTTACATCCCTTAGAATCGGAAGAAGGACATCTAATGACTAACGCTACCCTTGATGCTAATATTCCTCCTTTTCGGAAGATCGTCTTTAAGGTGTGGAGGGGAGACTTCTCTTTTCTTTGTACGACTTGATCTTTTGTAGGGTCGTACTTTAAAGGATTATCCTTAAAATCTAGTGGCTCTCTAATTCCTTGAGCATCCTTTCCAAGCCCTTGTCCTGGGCTATATCCATATCTCTTCATTATATGGGCCACTTTCATATTACTAGGAAGTCTTTCCATATTTTCAAATGTCCTCTTCAGCCGCATCCATTTAAGGCATGGTGGACGGCTCGCTGATTCGAATGTAGTCTTTAGCTTGAACCATGATCAACTTGTCGCCTACCACGAATTTGATTTTTCGGTGGAGCGTTGAAGAAAGTACCCTAGCACCGTGAATCCAAGGTATGCTTAATCTTCCGCTTGGATTCTTTTTTCCTTTTCCTCTTTGGTTTCTTTATTTTTCCTTTGTTTTTAGGAGCATTATCTTGTAGCTCCTTGGGGAATAAATTCTTTCGCTTCTCGTCGTGCCCCCAATGCCGGCTATATTGGAGATATCTTTATTAACAGACGATTCTTCTGTGCATATCCACAATACAACTTTATCCAATGTATAAGGGAAATGACGAGGCATGAATAAGCGCAAAGGTGTTATTGCCCCTTCCCTGACATTATCAATTTGGGTACTGATATTTATTTCTTTCTTGTCGCCACTGTCCATTCCGACGTCCAGGGACATCTCGAACGTTTATGCGAGCGGTCGCGAAAAGATGGTTTAGACTCACGTTTTTGTGTTAAAATATGTTCATTGCTTCCGAGGTGCTCAACAACTGAACTATCCTCTAATAAAAGCAAGGTTTTCGAAAAGGGATTCTTTTGGAGTCGCTGTAGACCCCTAATTTTGCCCGGCCTTTCAATAAAAGCTAGGGAAACTTCACACGAAGATAAAGATCGCCCAGCTAATCAATAAACACTAAGAAGACCTCCCACAACCACACGGAGTTCATCCAATTTCTGGACAAAGGCCAAAGAGACCTCCTATAACAAAGATAAAAGTTCGACCGGCATCTCAATAAGGGTCAAGACACTAGTGCAAAAAGGGGTTTTTACGTCAGGTATTTAGGGCTTTTTACGTTGTATTTAAGTCCAACGTTAAAGCAGGAGACGTAAATTTACGTCAGACCCTTTTGCCCGACGTAAATTTACGTCAATTATCCAGATCCGACGTAGATTTACACTAAACAGCCGTAAAAACCTTTTCAATTTAAAAAAAAAATAGAAAATTTACGTCGCATATGGTATACGCGACGTAAATTTACGTCGCATATACCAATACGCGACGTAAATTTACGTCGCATATACCAATACGCGACGTAAATTTACGTCGCATATACCAATATGCGACGTAAATTTACGTCGCATATTGGTGGTGGCACCAGGTCCTGTGTTGCCATACTCAGCATAGTACAATGTTTTGAGAGCAAAGTCTCCATTCCAAGTCGTCCATCCATCGGGGTGAATGAAGTCACCTATTTCGATTCCATCACAATGGTTCTTGAGAACTCCTTCCATGGCCTTCCAAGGTAGCTCCTGATCTTGTCCTTTACCGGGACCGGTTTGTCATCGGGTTTGATTGTGCACTTCTGGAGCACAATTCCAGTGGCTTGTTGCTTGTCCTCTCTCCCTTGTGTTGTCACCATGTTCTGCTGGTTGTCATTTGGCTTCCTCACAACCATGATGCAGTTCTGGAACACCACAGCTGCATCACCAAAGATGAAGTCAATTGTGCCACTAACGATGCAGCTCCTGTAGAACTGTTTGTGGGCTTGGACGTATAGAGTGTCTTGGTAGCCCTCAAAACGACAGTTGGCGAACACTGCACGATCCGCCCGGACTCTTGCGGCCATCGCTTGATGTCCATCGGGGCCTGCAGTGTTTCGAACCCCATTGCTAGGCCTATGAATCCGTCTCCCTCTACCACTGCGCGTGCATGTGCCAAAACAATATGTTACCCATTTATAATAATAATAATAAAAATATACATCACATGGTGAAGGGTGTTTAGTTTTAGACATGCTTGCGTACCAAAACTTGCGAGTTAGGAAAGTCCCGACTCCGTCCCTGTAGTTTTTGTTACCGAGTGATGATGGTCTTACTGGGATCCATCACCGTACATGGTTATATTTTGCATTTTCTTTGTTATTTTCACTGTCTCATCGTATATTCCCTCTTTAACAAAAATCACATACCTGCATTTTCAAACCCCAATAATAATTATACCTCAAACGATAGCAAATATACGTGCAGATATAAATAAGCTAGAGGCTTCTAGCTACGGGGTAGAGCGTGAGAGAGGCTAATTACCGTCCTTCATACTTTGCAGGGATAGAATTTAAACATTCAGAAATGGTTTTGAAGTTTCCACTGCCATCTTTTGCCACGGTAACATTAGGTTTAGGTTTGTTATCTGTGGCCTTCAAATAAACAAATTGAAAGCACGTTCCAACAACAATGGAGTGTGTAAATCGAATGCATTCAAACAAATAAACAAATAATTACATTCCAATAACAATCCAGTGGAGACATTCATACTATAACGTGATTGAGATCCCCAAAAACAATCACGGATTCAATGTAAACATATAGCAATGACATAGAACACTAACCTCAAGTGTAGACGAAAACTGATTTCAAACTCAAATCCAATCGGGGAGAAAGATCAAGTTCGTCAAATGACACGATAATGTAGATGCTTTTCATTGTAAAACTGCTCGAAAATGGTGTGCAGAGGTAGCTTTTGTCGTCGTCCTCATCGTCGTTCTCAAAAACCCTAGTTGCGCGAGACGAAGAAGTGGGTCTGGAGGGAAATAAAATAGACTTTTTACGTCGCGCATCCCAGCACGCGACGTAAAAAGCCATCTTTTACGTCGCACCTGGAGGGCGCGACGTAAAAGATGGCTTTTTACGTCGCATACTGGGATGTGCGACGTAAATTTTTTGTCTCATATTTACAAAATTGCCACCGCGTTTTATTTACGTCGAATATACATGCATACGACGACAATTGGGTGACGTAAAAACCCTGTTCTGCACTAGTGAGAAGACTTCCTATAAGAAGATCAACCTTCAACGGACACCTATCGGCATCAACCAACGTCTGAAAAAAGCAAGGAAAGCTTCCCGGGGTCCCAGAATGCAAAAACTGGACAAAACAGGTCGAGACCCCCGTCCCAGAGTTGGGACGGCCGTCCCAACTAACCTAGGACAAGTGAGACGCGCGTCCCACATGTGGGACGGCCGTCCCAAGTCCCAGGAGGGCTGGCTCTGTGTTAAAAATGCAAGTGGGACGGCCGTCCCACCCCAGACGGCCGTCCTGGCCAAGACGGCCGTCCCAGATGTGCCAGGCAGCGAAAACTATAAATACGAGGCTCATTTGCTCATTTTCCACACCCCAGACAACTCAGAGCACTTGTCTACTTCTCTCCCTCTTTCGAATGATCTTTCTGATTGCCTTATATAGGTAACAATCAGTTAAGAAATTATATTCCGGCATTCGAGTCTTCTATAAAATTTTAGTCGAGTCGAGTTTTGTTGTGAGGAGAGTCGTTGTAGAGCAAGGGACTGCCGAAACGCGTCCTCATTGTAAGAGAGTTGTTTTATAAAGCTTGCTACGGAGGTTCTTCTCAAATCTCTTCTCTTTTACTGTTTTATTTATTGCTTTATGAAATGTAAATAAAATCATGTAGATAGTCATATTTATTGTACGAATAAAATAGGGTAATAGCGTAATTTCTTGTAATCTCTACTTAAATGAATAAATTCGTCATAGGGAACCCGAAAGGGGCGTTGTGGGGTGCTAATACCTTCCCCACACGTAACTAACTCCCTTACCCAACTCTGGTTATAATGGCCAAGTGCGGTTTTTCTTAAAATCAACATTTTTTTCCTTTTCCAATGTTTAAGGTCAAAACATCGGTGGCGACTCCAAAAGAACCCCTTTTTCGAAAACCTGGCTTCTATTAGAGGATAGTTCAGTTGTTGAGCACCTTGGAAGTAATGAACATATTTTAAACATAAAACGCGAGTCTAAACCATCTTTTCGCGACCGCTCGCATAAACGTTCGAGATGTCCCAAGACGTCGGAACGGACGGCGGCGACAGATGGCGACTCCACTAGGGAAGCTAGAGAGTTTATCTCATTTAGTGACGGATAAATTCAAACTAAGTAAAGATTTGAAATTACGCCTTTACCCTCTTCTGTATGTTTTATTGTATGGCTTTAATAATTGTTGTATGATTATTTTCTGCAAATTGTTTGAAATATAAATTGCACACAAAAACCCTTGCACACAACAGTCCCTCTATACCCGGGGGCAAGAGTGAATACCTATAGGGAGTGGGTGGCAGATACGACCGGCTTGTTGGCACATGGGGCTACAACCGTTGTCGGAAACCACCAACTCAAGGTGATAACTCTCTTCTTTTAGTCTAAGGATGTAGACACGGAATTCCGTGCATGACCCGAGGAGATCCCTGTAGACCCCTAATTTTGCCCGGTTTCCCAAATAAAGATAAAGGAGATCACCCGTAACAAGATAAAGCTCGTCTAGCATTACAAATAAGAGCCAAGGAGACTTCCTATATGAAGATAAAGCTTCAACAGACACATATCGGCACCAACTGACGTCCGAAACATGAAAGGAAAGCTTCCCGGAGTCCCGAAATGCGAAACTGGCCAGAACAAGTCGAGACGGCCGTCCCAAAGTTGGGACGGCCGTCCCAACCTGCCCCAACCAGTTGAGACGCGCGTCCCGAAGTTGGGACGACCGTCCCAAGTCCCAGTTTAAGTGGGACGGCTGTCCCGGGTTCCCAGGGGGTCCCGCTCTGTGTAAAAATGCCATTTGGGACGACCATCCCAGTCCAGACGGCCGTCCCAACCCAAACGGCCGTCCCAAAGTGCGCCAGCTGTGAAAACTATAAATAGGAGGCTCATTTGCCACTTTTTCAGACCACAGACACTCCAGAAGAGCTCTGAAACACTCAGGGCACTTGTCTACTTCTCTCCCTCTCTAGAATGATCTTTCCGATTGCCTTAAATAGGTAACAATCGATTAAGGAATTATATTCCGGCATTCGATTCTTCTTTAAATTTTTAGTGGAGTCGATCTTGTATTGGTGAGGAGAGTCTGTATAGTGAGAGGGGTTGCCAAAACGCATCCTCACAGTTCGAGATTCTCAATATAAAGCTTGCTACGGAGGTTCTTTTCAATTCCCTTCTCTTTTATTGCTTTATTTACTGTTTTATTTTTATTTTATTACGTCATATAGTATAAAATCATGTAGATAGCCATTTTAATATCTCTTTTATTGCTTTATTTAGCTTTATTTATATAAAATTATGTAGATAGTCATTTCAATATTATGCAATAAAATAGGGTAATCGCGTAATTTCTCATAATCTTCACTTAATGAATTAATCCGTCATAGGGAACCCGAAAGGGGCGTTGTGGGGTGCTAACACCTTCCCCACACGTAACTAACTCCCTTACCCAACTCTGGTTATAACGGCCAAGTTGTTTTTTTTATATAAAATCAACGCCTTTGTTTTTCCTTTTCCAATGTTTCTGGTCAAAATATTGGTGGCGACTCCATAAGAACCCCTTTTCGAAAACCTTGCTTTTATTAGAGGATAATTCAATTGTCAAACACCTCGGAAGCAATGAACACATTTTAAAACAAATACGCGAGTCTAAACCATCTTTTCGCGACCGCTCGCATAAACGTTTCAAGACGTCTTTAAGACGTCGAAAGGGACGGCGGCGACAATCCCTATAATGGGGGCACCTTGGGGACCTTTGGCCTTGGTGAGAACAGTTTAGAACCACCTAAACCAAGCACGCTTCTACAGGAAAACCCTACCTCGTGATTAAATAAGCGTGGCTCTGCTCGTGGATGTATGAATTGTGTTTGCATTCGTTTGCTGCATTTGTATTGATGCATTAGCATAGGGTAATCATACAACAAACAAAATAGTGAAAAACCCTAAAAATCATAAAAGTGATAAGATAAACCAACTTTATCTCGGACAGTCTTCAGTTAAGCTAGCCTGGTTTCAGGTTCTTTGTAAGCTAAGTAGCCACGTTGACCGACAGAAGAGATAAAGGGTCATAAAAAATATAAAAACAATTAAAGCAATAAAATTGCCTTTTATAATAAAAAGATTTTTTGACAAAGTCGTATCATTCATACCATATCATCCAATAAGTGGTAAAACTAAGAGAGAAAATAATTGCAGCATGCACATCATTTTAATAAACCTCCAAAAAATAGGTCTTAGGAGCGTTTTTTGGGAAAATTACTGGGCCAAATCCCCTTCGAGAATTTGCAGCCTTGTTCTTCACCATTTTCTCTTCGTTTTGACATGCTGTGCGTCCAAATTGGACAACCCAGACAAAAGTTATTCCATTTTCAATATATGCTGTCATAAAAAATATTTTTGTAGTGCATGCATAAAGCACATTCATTCTAGGATGCATTAGATATCCTTAGACAATAGCGAAAGAGACCCAAGTGCGTTTATCACCTTCCTATAAGAGATAAGTGCGCTAAGGTATGTTGACAACCTTTTAAAAAAAAAAGGAAGTTAGCACACTAAGGTGGGTATGGTACCCTTAAAACATAGGCTTTTGAGAAAATACCAAAGCTATTGTCTAAGGCATATCTATTCCACACTAATCATTCATAATAAAAAAAAGCTATAATAATAAAAATCTTTAAATCATTTAGAAAGTGGCTGGTCTTCTACCTGTTCTCACTCGCGCTCAAAAAGCCAAGAGGATGGAGCAATTAGAGGAGCAGAATCGTATGCTCACCGCCGAGCTTAATGCCATAAAAGAACAAATGGCGC